TTTCTATTTGGTCTGGAGAGGCTCTTGTCGGTTTGTTGCTTGTTGTTTTGCCCATACCCGGTTCATGTTTCGCCTGTTATGCTACGTTGACGCTGTACCCCGCTGTGCTTTCAAACATGACGTGCCACCTGCAGTTTTGCGTAGGCTAATTTATATATTGTCCTATCATACATAATAGGTACCACTGACTATACGAACGGTACCAGTCGTCCACCTGTCTCGGATGGTCTGCAACCCGGACCATCGCCAACGGACATCCGCACGGCGCAGGTGTTCCATGGCTATCCTTCCTATCCGACCCCCGCGACGGCCTCAGGGGGACCAAGGGGTCCCTCAATACCACCACTACTCCGAGATAGTGGCATCGGGTCTCTCGGGCGCCATCCCACCATTGCGACATCCTCGAACCGGATCGAAGAAGTGGACGATGACGATGACGAGCGCAATCCAAGCAGCAATGCGCTCTTTGGCACACTGCCCGAGGGCAAACGCCGCAAGTTCATCCTGGTGGACGATAACCAGCGGGGTTGTCGCGTGCGAGTCAAGGTCATGCTGGACCAGGTTGATATGGACGAGCTTCCAGACTCCTACAGGATGTCTAATGCGGTATACCCCCGGACATACTTTCCTGTTCAGATGAGGGACCCGGGTCGAGTCGTGCCTGGGAATCGATATATCAAGGACCACGTTGGGGTGGATGAGGGTGACGATGCCGATGATGATGACGACAGCCCGACCGTTGGAAGGATCATGGTTCCTGCACCACAAATTGATGGCGAGGGAGAGATCGCGGTTCCCCGGCTGTCCCGAGGACGACGGAGAAGAGAGGTACTCTTGAATGACCTGGGCTACCGAATGAGTTGGAGCCAAAGTCGAGTGTTTGCGGGGCGGATGCTGTTCCTGCAGCGATCTCGTGCGTGATCTTCCTTTCCCTTACATCCCTTGCGTCGCCTGCATGTTGGCCATGCAGTCCCCACCTCGGAACACCGTGAATGTGACTAATCTTTGACCCGTGTCGGGAATGTAGTTGACGCGTACCGAAATAAGATGCGCAGCACGATGCTGGCGGCCGGCCAGGAACCGACATCCATTCCCCGGCATTTCGAGACGCGGGCGGGCAAACGACGATTCCTCGAGCGTAAGCGACGAGCGGCTGGGGGGCCGACTCGGGGTGCCGGTGCCCATGGGGTGTCTGCCTCGCAGCGCAGTGCTGAAGAGGTCGAGGCTTGACCCATGCAGCTTGGAAATACACCATCTCCTTCTATTTTTATTCAGTGCTACCGTATCCCTGAAGGTATTGTCAGGGAGATGTTTACTTTGACCATGTCACTCGTTTCTTGTCCCGGTTCGCCTGATCCTTCTGCCGGGTTGTCCCTCAGGGTTATGCTGACGGGGCCGACAGCGATCATGGGCCGCTATGTAAAGTAATAGATATCGGGAGGGAGTCCAAGATGGGGGAAGGGGATATGGCGGTCTGATGGATCGGGCGTTGGATTTCGATGATGATTTTCGTTTTTGACATGATTATGATGATTTGACGGCTGCCCTTACTACGAAAACAATATGATGAATGACTGATGATGAAACTCTGAATGTGAATGATGGTATTGTGGTTTTGTTCCTTTTCCTTCTTTTGGTAATGGTGTCAATGGTGTCAATGAAACCCCAAAGAATACGGGACCAAACAAGGTTAATTGGTTGCTGCCTGCCGCATTCAGAGCATCTGGGCGGGCACGTGCAACCCCGATTCCGATTAGGTCGAAGCGGCAGTGGACCAACCGGGGAAAGACCCTGACCCGATGCGGCTTAGTGGCTGCTGGACCCTGGCGTTTAGTACGACGTTTGGCTTCCAATTCAGGGCACAGTTACATACACCCGCTCCATACAGCCATACACTATACAGTACAAGTCTAGTGGTTGTCGGGGTCACCGCCGCTCTCCCTCCCACCCATCCCTCCACCAAAAAAGTAACTTCATCCATTAACCTTTTTTTGCTCGTCGCCATGGAAGCTGGGGTTCTTTTTCTCCACTGCTTCTATGCCGCATGCAGTCACTTTATCTACTACTACCAATCTTCCGACTTCCATCCATCGACTGCCACCCACCCTAGGACCGACTACTCGTTGTTTCTCTTTCATATCCGCCTTCTCCATCCATCCTTTACCCCCTCACGTCCCGAATCCAAGACACCCCGAAACTTAGTCTAAGATCCGGGTTTGCATTTCAAATCTGATTGAGTTCGTGGCTGCGTTCCTTTTTCTATTTCGGCGGTATGCTGACAATTGCGTCGAAGAAAATAGCCCGTCGCAGTTCACTGGTCCACGATATTCCGCCCATCCTTGGGTGAACTTTCACGGGATCGTCTGTAAACGACGAACCGTGGTTCCGTCGGGCTGTCAGACTTGTTCTTGATTTAGAAACAACACCCTGCGACGGTTAGGGTGCCATACTACTACTCTAACCACCTGCCTGCCGGGAGACCGCTTTTTCTGCCCTTGCCTCGTTCGTCTGGCTGTCTTACTTGGGGTCTTGCTTGGTGCTCTCTTCCTTCCTTTCGCTGCTTTTACTAGTAACTCTTCCTCATCTATCGCCCTCTCTCCCTTCGTCGCCAGTTAGCTCAGAACCCTATTATTATACATATTCCGTCTCCTATTGCGATATTTCCTAACGATCATTCACAAAGAGTTCCTTGTCACATGTTCCAGCATGGCCGGCGTGAACCGGTCCTTTAGTTACAGTCGCGGCGACGATGCGTTGTTGAGAGATGATGAGCGAGAGATCTTACCCCTCCGATCTGCAGAAGACGGTCTCTACAGTACATCATATGGCGACATCTCCCCGCTATCTGCTGGGTTTCAAGCGCAGACTAGGCCATTCGACCGAGGTCTGGTGTCAGTCCCGGAAGGTCAGAGCCTGGAGCGCCACATGACCTCGACGCCGGGGATGGATAATCTAGGGCCGGCCTCTGTGGGTGGCGGAATCAGTGGTATCGCTCTTGGCGTAGCCAATTCTAATAATCGCCAGAGTGGAGTTGACGCTTTTAGGGAAACAGATGTTCCAGTACGCAATCTCCCTGCTGAACGGGATTTCAACACCACTGGCTCCGATAATCCCTATATACCTGCTCCGCCCGATGGAGACATCCATCCGAATTCGGAGACGATGAGGTATCGCGACTCTTACAGCTCGCATACCGGGCTTGGTGCTGGCGCGCCTTTTGCAGAACATAGCACGCCGGGAACTACGCCATCCCAACGTAGCTTCTTCGATAGTCCGTATCAAGGTGTGGATGCTGGACCGTATCAGCGGCATTCGGCTTATAGTTCTCACGACTACCCGCTTGTCATCAATCCGGATGATATTGCTGACGATGGCGATGATGGGTTCCCTGTCCACCCCAAGGGAGTAGCGGACTACAGATCGAACGGAAATGTGCCTGCTGCAGGTGTCGCTGGCGCAGCGGCTGCCGGGGGGCTTTTAGGGAAGTTTCGGGCGCTTTTCAAGAAAGAGCAGCCTAGTCCGTATTACGATTCTGATATTGGAGGTGGGTTGGGAGGAGCCGAAAAGGCACAAGGAGGTAGGCACATTATTGGAGGCGGGAGTCGCAAACGCGGGTGGATTGTTGGGCTCGTATTGGCGGCAGTGATCGTGGCAGCTATTGTCGGGGGCGCTGTCGGTGGTATTCTGGGCCATCAGGAGCATGACGGCGATACATCGTCATCATCATCATCGGGCACAGGGTCTGGTGGTTCGGACAAAGGAGATGGGCTGCTCGACAAGGATTCCGACGAGATCAAGGCGCTTATGAACAACAAGAACCTCCACAAAGTGTTTCCCGGTGTCGACTATACCCCGTGGGGAGTGCAGTATCCGCTGTGTCTCCAATATCCTCCGTCGCAGAACAACGTTACGCGCGACCTGGCGGTGCTCACGCAGTTGACTAATACTATCCGACTTTATGGCACTGACTGCAATCAGACTGAGATGGTCCTCGAGGCCATTGACCGCTTGCAGTTGACTAAAATGAAGCTCTGGCTGGGCGTGTGGATTGATACCAACACCACGACTACGGATCGCCAGATTAGCCAGTTGTATAAGATCGTGGAAAGTGCAAACGACACCTCGATATTCAAAGGAGCTATTGTGGGTAATGAAGCTCTCTATCGAGCAGGCTCGGACGTGGCGAGTGCAGAAACGAATCTAATCGGCTACATTAACGATGTCAAAGACCACTTCAAAGAGAAGAACATTGACCTCCCAGTGGGCACCTCGGACTTGGGCGACAACTGGAATGCACAACTCGTCAGCGCAGCCGACTTTGTCATGTCGAACATTCATCCGTTCTTCGGAGGAGTAGAGATTGATGACGCCGCCAGCTGGACATGGACATTCTGGCAGACGCACGACACCCCACTCACAGCCGGAACGAACAAACAGCAGATCATATCAGAGGTCGGATGGCCGACTGGTGGAGGGAACGACTGTGGGTCCGACAACAAATGTGAGAATGACAAGCAGGGCGCTGTAGCGGGCGTCGATGAGCTGAACCAGTTCCTGTCGGAATGGGTTTGTCAGGCGTTGGACAATGGTACAGAGTATTTCTGGTAAGTTGCAGACTGCTACAACTGTAGGACGTGGCTAAGATATATGCAGGTTCGAGGCTTTCGATGAGCCGTGGAAGGTCCAGTACAACACGCCCGGTCAGGAATGGGAAGACAAATGGGGGCTGATGGACTCGGCTCGCAATCTGAAGCCGGGCGTCAAGATCCCTGATTGTGGCGGCAAGACAATTACGTGAACGCCGATACGTCTCTAGACCTGATGAAAGTGATGATGGATGAAATGTACACAACATATCCGACATACATCATGTGTTATGATGCATTACGACTGATCGATTTCTGCTGTGCTTCCTTGCGGTGTTAGAGCTTTGACCTGGGACTGTATTCTATTGAGCTGGTGCATGGGTCGGCTGCCGTCGTTCTTTGCGCGGCATTCCGACGAGTGTCACGACGCCATTCTACGCGAAGTGCTATTTGGCGTGTTTGTATATAGCGTGAGCGTGTGATCCACATAGGGCTGACAATACGACCCTTGTTGCATGCATGCCGATTCGGCATTCGGAGCGCATAGCGTAGGCGTGTAGCCAGTAGATGGTTGTCACCATAGCAGCCATTCACCACTATTCTATGGTGAGAGGCAACCATCCCCATCTAGATGATATGATACTCCCTACTACTCCTCCCCCTCCTTCTCCAACGGATAATAAATCCGCATATTCCAAAACGCATGCTCCTGCGCCTCAAACAGCGGCAACCTGACGGACCCCCTCCTCTTCACAAACGCACTCACCACCTCCGACTCGACATCTTCCAACGGTCCCCCAAACACAAACGCCGGATCCAGCGCCAATAACTGCTCAAGATGTGTGCGCTCCGCGCCAGGACAGAAGAGGAATGTACGGGGAGTTACTTTATCGAATGCGAGGGGGGACTCGAGAACGGTGATGTCGAGGGAGGACAGGAGGGCCGTGTCGAGGGTATTGAAGACAGGGTCTTGAGCGTAGGTTTTTATTGTTGGATCTGTTGATTGAGAATGAATGATTAGATGGGTTATTGAGATAGACAGGATATGAATAAACTCACCAGAAGAAGAAGAGGAAGAGATAGAGGCAACAACATCCACCAACGCCGCCAACTGATACAGCGAAACTAATCGCCGATCGACCCATCCTCCACGAAGGAATCCGCTCGGACTGCCGAGACCGATGCAGATGATGGAATCAATCCCTAACTCAGTATTCTTATTCTCTATTGTTGTATGCGATTGTTCTGTATTATCCGTATTCGACTCTCGTGATTGTAATTGAGGGAGGAGGATATTGTGAAGCGTCCTCCCCACCACATCGCACGTCGATGATTCTTTCCATGTGCGTTGGATGATCTGGGTGAATTGGGATTTGAGAGAGTCGAGGGTGGTGGTGGGTGGGGCTTCGGCGGGGTGGAATGTTTCTGTTGTTTCTGATTCTTCTTTTGTTGGCGATTGGAATTGGGACTGTGATTGTTGGTCTTTGGTTGTGCGCGCACAGCGGCGCGCTTTGCCGCTGGTGGTGACATGCGTCCAGCCGGTAGTGGCGTCGGTGATTTGGAGTCGTTTTTGCGCTTGCAGGGTGTTGTTGGGGTGAGGGTGTTTTTTGCGCGAGGTGTGGGGCATTTTTGCTTCTTTCGTTTTGTAGTAAGTACTTTTGGGTGCTGGGTTTGAGGGGTTGGTGAGTGGGTAGGATTAATTGGTGTGAATGGGTTCTGGTGGTGGAAGGAAGATGCATGAATGAATGGCAGAGAGAATTGAATGCGACGGAGGGGAGGGGAGGACCGGCGGGCGGTAAGTGGGTGGGTTTGATTGGTGGGAGGATCCTAAGTAGACACGCTTATAAGGCGGCATAGCCTGGGCCCATCATTTGCTCCCCACCATCTATCTCCACCAGTATACAATATCTTCGAAAGCTTATTGCTTCATTTCTGTATTAAGTATGTCCAACACGGAAGAAAAGCAAAACGTGCAGTCTGTTGGCTCTGGGCCCCAAGTCAATATCCTCTACTCAGCCCCTGGTTTCGCAGTACTCGATCCAGACACTATCAAGACAATGGCGAACCCCAGCAATACCATATTCAGCTGGGGCGGTGTACAGATAGTGAAGATATCTCCTGAAGTTGCGGTCAAATTTGGCTCTCATGTCACATTACACGAGGCTAAAAGTATGTTGTTTGTTAATCAGAATACAGAAACTGTACCAGTGCCCAAGATTTTTGCCTATTACTCTTATGGTCCAATCGACCGGGACATCGGGGATTATGGGAGCTACTATGATAATTATATCTTCATGACTTATGTGGAGGGCCAGGGACTGGATAAGGTCTGGGACACTTATGATAGTGTGACAAAAACTCGAATTGCCGGCCAGTTGAAAGGGTATCTCGATGAGCTTCGCCAGATTGAGCACAGGAATTACATAGGCTCTGTTGATCGTGGGCCGCTTCCTGATCCAATTCTAGGAGAACTTGAGTACAAGGGTGGGTAGTGTCACCAATACCTGTCACTGATACTGACGCTACGAAGGACCCTTTGATTCAGAAGACGACTTCAACAATGCAATTATCAATGCATATCAAGACACGGCACCAAAACGTCATGTCAAGAATGTCCTGGTTGGTATGCTTGCGTCTCAAAAAAGACATAATATCGTGTTTACCCATGGGGATTTTCGTCATCCCAATATCATGGTTAACGATGGGAACGTCACTGGAATTGTAGACTGGGAGTTCAGTGGCTGGTTCCCTGAACACTGGGAGTTTGTCAAAGCTCTCGCGGTATGGCAGTGGCAGAATGATTGGACTGGATATTTGGCAAAGATTCTCGAACCGTATTATACTGAGTATGCGGTGTTTTTGTTCTTTCATGAAGTTCTCTGGATGTAATAACCGTCGTTGGGTCTGTAAGCCTGATTGGAAAGAAAGCTGTAACTATTGGACTAGTCCCGGTAGACCTGGTGGATGCGAAGTTGGAAGACAATCTCGTAAGGACCTTGGACAATTTGAAGAGGTAGTAGCAAGCCATAACAATTCTTATTGTGCCAAGTTCATAGCTTTTAGATATCGAGATCACGTGGTGTTGTCGTAGATGATGTCTTCCTGAGCCTAGATCATGATCAAGCCAAGGACATGCAGCCAAAAACCAAGCATGAGGAAGAACAGCGGATAAAGACATTACCTACAATAATCCCTGCCATGCAAGCTTGATCACGGCGCTTCAAGTCGGACCAAGATGCGTAGCCTATACTATGGCGGGGTTGGGCGCTTAGCTACACATCAACATATGAGCGGGCTGAACACCAACAGTATCAGCATTCGTCCAACTCACAACACAAGTTGCATGGTATATTCGTTGGAAATAGAAGAAGTGATTATCGTACAAAACAATGAATGCAAAGTATTTGGTTGGTTTTGGTGTTCACTTAATGTGATTGGCTATAGCAAATCGTGCCCCAACACATCCAGAATTGGGGTGATAATGCGAATCAGCGTGAAGGTTGACAACCATTAGAAAGTTCCGTAGTAGCGCTGAGACGGGGCTATACTAGCAGAAGGAGATATTTACCTAAAAAACTGCAACGAGACTAATGGACAGAAGCTGCATGCGATCGTCCCGTCACACTGCGATCACCTCCCCATCGGCCCCTCTGAGTCGATCTCTAAGCGCCCTGCCCGGATAGCGCCCGTCGCTCCCCCTCTTCTGCTTCCTCCTGTGCCCTCTCGTGCCCTCACCCAACCCTTGCTCGGCGCTACCAGCAGCTTCCTCTCCGCGAATGACAGTCCAGAACTGCTCCCTGTCGCTGTGATGTCTCTTGCAGCCCGCCTCCCTGGTCTATCCACCCAGCCAATCTGCTTCTTGCAATCCTTCGCGCGCTCCCCAGTTGTAGTCTAGTCTGATCCAGTCTTGCTATCAGCTAAACTTCTGCCGTTGGAACCGTCACTCATCCCATCCCATCCCCAATCGCCGCTGTCCCCTGCGGGAGTTGTCACATCGCACATTGCGCTGTGACTCGTCCATATCGCTTGCCTTCCCCGCTATGCCGGTGGCCGTGAGCGCCATTGCAGGAACCGGCCATGGCCTCTTCGTCTCGACTCAAAAAGTCATGGCAGCCCTCCCTCCCGCCCAGCTGCTGGAAGGCTTGGTTTCATGATGATCATTCTTCTTCCTGCAGTGCTGGATCGCTTGCCGTGATTGTTTTCGTGTGCCTCTTGATGAGTCGAGGTTGCTAGAGGTTATTTCTGTTCCATCTGACCTCCTCTGGCGCACTCTGTATATCTCCTCTTACCTATATCTCCTTCCTCTTTTGTTCTACCCACTGGTGCCCTCAGAATGAGATTCTTCAGCGACTCGATATCCCGCTGGACAGCGGCCCTCACCCTCCTGTGGCTGAGTCTGGTCAATGCTCACACCGTCATCACTTACCCCGGATATCGAGGTAACAACCTGCACACCAACGGTACGGTCGAAGAGACCAACGGTCTGGGTGTCGCTTGGAAGAACGGCTCCTACGTCTATCCCTATGGAATGCAATGGATCTATCCTTGTATGTATCCCACCATGCCTTGTCCATCTTCTCAAAGAAGGTAGCCAGCTGACTGTTTTAGGTGGCGGTATGGCCACCTCCCGCAATCGCACCAAATGGCCCGTCACCGGCGGTGCTGTCGCCCTTCAACCTGCCTGGTTCCGCGGCCATGAGACGGCCTTCGTCTACATCAACATCGGCTGGGGTACTGTCCCTCCCAACATGAGTAACCCCATGCTCTCGGTCTTTGAAATCGAAGGTCCCACCAACAACCCTTACCCCGGCACCATCTGTATGCCGCAAGTGCCACTGCCGGCCAATATGAGTGTGAGCCCGGGTGATAATGCGACGATTCAGGTGGTGTTGGCGGCGAAGCACGGTGCTGCTCTTTATGATGTATGCAACAGCCCCTCTATATATCCACATACATCGGATTGATACTGACTGACTTAGTGTGTGGACATCACCTTCGCTGAACCTGAGGATGTCGAGGAAGTGACAAAAGACAACTGCTTCAACTCGACAGATATTGCCTTCAAGTATGTCTTTGCCTCAAAGTCACTGACGACTTCTGGTGCACTGGCGCGGCTGAGTAGTCCCGGGTTGAACGCCGTGGTACCGGTGCTGGTGATGGTGTTGTTTGGACTGTTCATGATGTGATGTGGTGATGTATTCTGAAGTTGTTTTGTTCCCTGGTTACTCGGCACATACCTACCATACATACCCTTATACTCTCCTTATACCCATACCCCGTTTGGCTGTGAGCCGACGATGATTTCAATGTTTTGCAATGAAGTTGCATGTTTAATGTTCCATCATGGTGTTGTGGTAATATGGTACTCATTACATACTATTTTATATCGAATCAATCTCACATACCCAAAACCCTAACATCTACGACAACTATCTCACTACTCCTCACTTCTACCTCCTACCTACACCCTGCTATATAACTACAACCCCCTTACCACCCCCAAAATGACCTCTACCACCTCCCCCGGCGCCTCCTGCGGCGCCCAATGCCCCACCCCAGGAATCAACCTCACCTCCCTCAAATCCCCACAACTCGTCCCATTCCGCATATTCTCCAACGCCCCAGGCTCCTGATACACTCCCCAATCACTCTCCCCCGAGGCAAACGCACAGGGAATCTCAATCCTCCTGCCCGCAAACACCTCCCAATCCCACGTATATTTCCTCCCCGGCGTCGTCCGCACCCGATACCAATTCAACGCACCCTGGAACCCCGTACGCGCATATTCCCCAACATACACCGACAACTCCTCATCACTCATCCACTCCTTACTCTTCGATACTCCCTCCACATCCGCCTGCCGCATCATCTCCTCCACCGTGTCGGGCATACTCAACCCCACCGGCATGATATAATACCCAGGCATTCTGGCTAACTGTTCCCCCGTCCACGAGGAAATAGGTCCCATATTGGAAGGGTCATTCCCCTCCCAGCATCCACTCTTCAGATGAAAATACCCCCGTAGAAAATCGTGGAGACCTTGCGCGGGGTTCTCCATCTCTGGGCTGGCGTTTTCGGTGGAGTAGTGCCATTTATAGTGTTTTAGACCGAGGGTGCTTAGGTCGCTTTGTATATCTCCTCCTCCTCCTCCTCCTCCTCCTCCTCCATTTCTCTT